CATCTCTAGTCTAAGCCTGTGCCCATTGTCATGGTAGCAGAGTGCGTGTTAGTAGATGTACTTGTTTAAACCAGGAATTTAGTAACCTCAGGCTACACACACAGGTTTTCCTTGTAACTCCTGATCGCCTGTCTTTAGCAGACTGAATTGTATGTGGGTAGTTTAAAGCAGTTTTTTTAAAGAAAAAATAGAAGGGGGGGAAGAGGGAAGCTTGTCAGATGCTAGTAATATAATTTTATGCAGAGTGCTGTAGAGTGGTCCTTTTTCAAAGACCTAGACAAGCACGAGAATCAATAATTGACACGTGAGGATTACATACTGTGCCAAATATTTAATTTTTAGTCTATTTTAAAGAGCTGTAGGGTTTTTGTTGTTGAGATTCCTCTTGGAAAGAAGTTTGGAAAGAGGAAATTCATTATGTGCGTGGGGGAGGGGTTGATACGTGGCACTGGCAGTATCATTCTTTCACTAATGTTTTTGCTTGCTTTATAAACTTCTAGAAGTTTTTTATTTTCCCTATTTATAGTTACTGTTATATAATATGAATAAAGAGCATACAATTTAATTGAAAATATTCTAGGTGTGAGAAATCTGGCATTGCATAAATCCCATTACACTAGTAACCGAAAATTGAAAGAGTATTATTTTTCCAGAGGAAGAAATTGCTCTAAGCTACTTGTGACTTATATGGAACTACTAATCTAATCAGTTCTTCTTTTGAGAAGTTTACAATTGCATCATTCTCTTTAGTTATGTGAGACCAAACAGAATTTTAAACTGAGTTTTGGAGGAGCAAAAGTACATTTAATGAGCATCAGTTGCATACATATGGTGTTAAAAGCAAAAGAAAATTAGATTTTACATGTAACTGTAAACTTAATTGTAGCTTATGTTTAAGTGGGACTATGAAATGTAGAAGCTTTGCATTATATTGCAGTTTTGATCTTGTGGCAACCACTGTAATTCCTAGACATACAATAGTTTGATTTTCTTGTATTAGGTCCTAATAAAGATGACTTTGTTCATTTTGACCTTAATTTAATAATGCAATATGTCCAGGAGAGTTTGGAAAATAAGGTACACAGGCACCTTTTTTTCCTCTTTGTAAGGCAGTGTCTATACTATGAACCTAACCACTCCTGTGTAGCTTCTCTTTGCTGGCAGGAGAGAATTCTCCTGGCAGCATAACTAAACTACCCCCAATGAACTGCAACAATAGATCTCTGTAGCTATGAACTTATCAACCTGACTGTGTTCACAGTGGGGGTTAGGTTGGCCTAATGACATGGGACAGGGTGTGAAGCTTTTGGAAGTCAGGGGCCACTGATCAACTGGTCAATCCTGATCTCCCGTAGTGTAGTGGGGCTGCCATAACAGGTTCCCTGCTTGCCTCTGCCTCTCACCATTCACCCATTCCTAGAAGAGATTAATGTGGCTCCCTGTGTGTGTGGTGAGAGGGCAGGAGTGTTGGCGCATTGCTTCTGCCTGCTAGCACTATTCCTGCAGCTCCCATTGTCCAGGAATGGGAAACTGTGGCCAATGGGAGCTGAGCAGGGCAGTGCAGGTTTAGGGGGCAGTGCACAGAGCTATGTGCTTCCCCCTTCCCCAGCTCCTGGGGCCACAGGGGCATGTTGTCCCCTTTCAGGAGTGGGTTGTGCTCAGGGCAGGCAGGGAGTCTGCTGTAGCCTCACTGTGCTGCCAATTAGGAGCTGCCCATGGTAAATGCTGCCCGTTGGAAGGCTGCACCCCAGGCCCTTCCAGAGCTAGCGCCCCATATCATCATCTGCATTCTAAACCCCCTCCCAGAATCCTGATGAACAGGGCTTGACAAATACGCTTATCTACTCACCTGTGGCGAGTAGATTTCAGCCGGTTGTCCCGTTCACCGGCTGACCGTGCATGCGCTGTGCAGGGCTGGCGAGGTGGCTTTCACTGCAGTCATCGAGCCCTGCTAATGAAGCATGTTTGGGTGAGTGGAGCACAGTAGGCTGGGGCTTGCCACTGCCATGATGAAGTGGAGCGACCCAGATGGCAGTGAAGTGGGATAGGCTGTTGGGTCATTCCACTTTCTGTGGCTCCTGGTGCCATGGTAAGTGTGGAGGGGACCCCTGCTGCCTCCCCATGCCAGGCTCCTTGGTAATTCCCATGGACTGTGTCATTCTGGGGTGGGGAGCAGGTGGGTGGAACAGGAGTGGGAGATGGTGAGGAAGAGGCAGGATGAGATCAGACCTAGGGTAGAGGGGCCCCACTCCTTCTGTTGGGATAACCCTGTTCCCTCCTGTCCTTCAAGCACTTATCCCAGCACCAACCCCCTCTGAGCCAGTACTCCACACTCTCTCCTGCACCCTAACCCCCTCCTGCAAGCTCAGTCCAGAGTCCTCTGTCACGCTGCCCTTCAGCCCCAGTTAGAGCCTATACTGCCTCCCAAACACCATCTCCCTGCCTTGGTGACACTGAGTGAGTGAGGGTGGAGGAGAGGGGGATGGTGTATATGGGATGGGGCTTCAGAAAAGGTGCCAGGCCTCAGGGAAGGGGGCAGGGTTGATCTTGGGTTGCCCTTAAATTTAGACAGTGATCATTGTCTTAAAGGTTGGAGACCACTGATCTAAGTTGACCCAAGTTTTTGGCTAGATCTACATTACAGCAAAAAGTTGACTTAAGTGGTGCAACTCCAGCTACGTTATTTATGTAAAGTTACTGCGTGGTCTACACTCCAGGTTGTCAATGGGAGAAAGTTACTGCATGGTCTACACTCCAGGTTGTCAATGGGAGAAACTCTCCTTTTGACTTTCCTTACTCTACCTCAGACACGAAGGTTAACAGGATCCACAGGACAGTTATCTGCAATCGATTCAGCAGCTCTTCACTAGACCCACTAAATTGACCACTGGCAGATTGATCTCTGAGCAGGATCCAGGCTGTAGTCTAGATCCGGGGGACGGAGGGGAGATGGATGTATGGCACACTAACCATATCTGGTCTGCTAAGTGTTTTAATCCACCCGTCCACCTCTGCTGCACAAAGCAGCTCTGCTCAAAGTGGCTAGCTGCTCTCTGTGGGTCTCTGTGCTGCAGGGGGAAGGGAGGTAGGCTTTGTGTGTTCCTCCCAGTGCAGCTAGCCATATAGCCTCTGGATCAGCGGTGGGCAATAATTTTAGCCCGGGTGCCTAAATGGGAAGGGGTGGGGCTACTGCACCCCCAGACCATGATTGGTGTGGGGGTGCGGGAGCCCCTTTGCCCCTCCTTCCCACTAAGCACCCATGCCCTGGAAGAGGCTTAGCATGCTCCCCCAGGCCAATCAGGGCTGGGGAGTGCGGGAAGCCTCCTCCCGCCCTGCGAGCAGCGTGTTGCACTTTGAAATGCTGTGGGCTCCTCACAGGCCAGTGGTGCTGTAGGCCTCCAGGGCCTCAGCCATGTGGCTGGCACGGGTCAGCGTGTCCCCCTGGCACAGACAGAAGTCCTGCTTGGGCTGAGGCAGTTCAGCCGGCTGCAAGCCATTCAGTTTCATGCCACCTGTTCCTCTCGCCAGCAGCTCCAAGGGGTGGAGGTTCCCTCAGCAGTAGCCTTCTGGAAGAAGAGGAAGTAATGCCAGCGTAGCTGGATGGGGGGGGGGTGAGGGGCGGGGAGCATGCCACAGAGGCAGTCCCGTGTGGGGCAGTGAAGGATCGTGGTGGAGCAGGGATTTGCAGGCAGCAGCGCGCACTGCATCCAGTTCAGGGACATTATGAGTGCACAGCTACTGTACGCGCAGCCTAACCTGCTGCTGGTGCCCTCCCCTTCCTTCAGCTCCAGGTTAGGCTGCATGCACTGCAGCTGGCTATGGTGCCTCCAAGCACACAGCAGCTGGACTTGAAGTCTAACCTGCTGTCGTGGAAGTAGGAGGGTGCTAATAGCAGGTGAGGCTGGTTGTGCCACTCAAAATCGGCTCACATGCTGCTTGTGGCATGTGTGCTGGGGGTTGCCAGCCCCGGTGTAGTAGAACGGTTTGTGCTTTGTAATCAGTGCATAGGTTTATCGTTTATTTGCTTGATTCAGTTGAATGTGGCAAGTGCTGAACTTACTTGAAAATAAGTCACATTAAGGATATGTCTATACCGCAACTGGAAATGTGCGTCCTGGTCCTGGTAGACTTGTGCTCGCTCTGTTTGAGCCAGCATGCTAAAAATAGTAACATAGTTGTTGCTGCACAGACAGTGACTTGAACTAGTTGCCCATTTCTAAGCCGGACTGAGTTTGGGTATGTGCCTAAACCAGCAACTTCTATATTGCTATTTTTAGTGAACTAGCTCAGGGCTGGCATGAATTTGTCTACCTGACTGCAAAGCATGCTTCTGGCTCAGAGGTGTAGCGAGGCTGTTATGCGCACTGGGCAAAGGCAAATTTGTGCCCCACCACGCCGCCACTGTGCGGCAAGGCCCCGAATCTGGTGCCTGGCTGAGCCTGACCCCTGGGAGGAGGTAGAGGAGTTTGTACTGCATCTTACTCAACCCCCTCCAGTTTGGGGCTGAGCCCCACATGCACTAACACTCTGGCAGAGGGTCTTTTTCATGTCTTTTACATAAGTCGAATTCTTAAAATGCGTACGTTTTATAAAACACAAGAGAAATAAATGTTATACAACCTAAATATGAATTTCATCACTATATTTCAGTCAAGCATTTAAAACCACTGTTACAGCAAATGAGGAACTCGTTGCTTTAATGAATATAAACAGTAAAAAAAGATTTTGAGCATATCAAATTTATTGTAAGCAATCTATAATGCTTCCTAACTGCCCAGTTACTTACCTAGTTAACCTAATTGTTTTTCATACTGTCGCACACCGATTAAACTACATGAGTTATGAATGTAAAAGATTAATTTATCTGTTAAAGTAATACTCAGTTTTATTTAAAAGTTTGTCTAATATACAGCATGAGAATCACCTTCTCTTTCTTGAAGGCTACTTATTGCTTCAAGTGCCTAAGGCTGAGGATACACTGCAAGCATGGCTTTGTCTGCCATGAGGACTTTTTCCTTCAGGCTGTGGTGAGATAAAGTAAAGATTTATCTTCAGGCTGTGGTGAGATTAAGTAAAAAGGAGAGGTCTCTCTGAGCTGCTTTTCCAAATTTCACACGTCATTCAAATGAAGCCATAGATATCAAAATTCAAGGCCAACTTTGTCTTGAGCAGATTGCCTCGCCAGGTGTTCACAATCACAACATCAGAACATGTATAAGACTTTTAGTTGAGAGCTATATTAATCCCATGTCTCTGCTATGACTTAGAGATGTGGGTGACCTATAGAAAACATCCGCATTTTCTTAGGAAAATCTGCAACAAAATGTGGGGTGATCTATCACTTCAGTAATGCCAACTTCTTTAGAATTGAGGCTCTGATAATCCAGCACCAGCTGAGGTTGAGAACCAGCTGTGTGCACGTATCTGATATATTTTTACCAAAACTCCTGCATGCCCAACTCACCAAAGGAGAAAGGAAACAAGGAGGCCAAGAAGAATGGTATAGTATAGAGCAGTGTTTCTCAACCTTTTTTAATAAGCTTCAGAGGGGTAGCCGAGCTAGTCTGTAACAGGAAAAACTTAAACAACAAATAGTCTAGTGGCACTTTAAAGACTAACAAGACACCTAGATGGTGGTGGTATGAGCTTTTGTGGGTGGAAGTGGGTTTTGCCCGCGAAAGCTCATGATACCATCTACGTGTTTTGTTTGGTCTAGTAGCACTTTAAAGACTTTCAGTTTTTTCCTTTTGTTATAAAGTACCTTTTAAAAAAATAAGTACCCCAATGCAGCCACCCCTCCATCAGAGCCAGGCACCCCCAGCACTCCCATCCCAATGCTCCCACCCTTCTCCCATAGCCAAGCACCCCCAGCACCCCCCCCCCCAACCAAATTCCCCTTCCACAGAGCCAGGAACCAGAGGG